TTAGAGCACATTTTATTTCAACTGGAAAGATAGTAGGTGTAACACTACACAAAAATGCTTTATTACCGGTGGACAAAATCCGCCGGAAATATGTGTTTTCCGGCGTATTTTCGGCGCAAAATGATCCGATGTTAATTCACGCATCGGAAAATCTAAACCGGCGAAATATTTTTGCCAGAAAATGGTCTGGCGGTTGTTCCGACGAAAAAAATGAGGAAGACGACGCCGTTTTTGGTGTCGAATTCCGGCGTATAATCTGCCGGCCTTTCCGGCGGAAATATACGCCGGAAATACATAAGATTACACGGGTGGATAAGCCGCCACCTATCATCCGATGATCTGTTACCGTCTTAATATCCGGCGAAAATGCCAGCGCAACCCTTCCATCGAAAATGTAGTCGTATCGTATTTACAGTACCGGATAGGAAGTTCGGGGCCTAATCGAGCGGAAGAAGAAGAAGAAAGATCACGGCCAGGTCAAAATAGGGCCTTTCCATCGAGATTTCTGGCAGAGTATCAGTCGGTTACCTTACCAGCGGTTAATGCGTCGGTAAACATTCATCGAGTTTATGTAAGCCAACGCAACATTCGCCGATAATAACCGGCGCAAATTATGTCCGAAACTTTATAAATTCCGGTAAAATACCAGTGAATATTTCGCAGGTTTGGACGCCGCAATTTCCGGTGTATATCTCTCCGCCGGCAAATTCGACGGTAATGACGGATTTTACTTTTGGGTAAATATATAATTGTGTATATTCGGTTTTTTTGGTGCACGTAGAGCTATGTAATATTTTGTTACCTATGTCTGTTTTCGGAAGAGAGCTTCCCACGCCTTCTGCAATGGTGGACTGCAAAGATGTGAGTAAATGATCAGAAAGCTATTGCTACATTAATTTACTAAACTCTGTAATTATTTTCATGGAAAGATAAATAAGGAAAGCAAGTCTGTAAGTGCTACGTACAATCTGGGATTCAAGAACAGAGCCGCGCGGCTCCGCGAAGGTGGAGAGCGCGAGGAGGAGGATGAGAAGAATGGAGGCGCGAATCAGAATTGCGGAGGAAGCCATGGAAGAAGAAATGGAAGCTAATATAAGCGGATATGTTCAGTTGAAAGCTGGACGAGCAGTGACCCGCGGAGCTTGAAGCATCTGATTTATAAGGAGGGACTAGGTGAATATAATCTGCAAGATATGTACTGCGGTCCTGCAACTTGCATGCGTGAAAATAAATTAAGTATATATTAATAAAAAATTAGTAATCATGAAATAGATAATCAGAGTAGTATAAGAATTGATTGTTTAATTAAATATTATAATTAATTTTTTATATTACAATCAAGTTATCCGACCCAAATTCTAAAGGCTGGAGAACGGTCCAACTAGGCTTGTAATTGCAGTCTTCTAATTGTTCAATTCAAATTTTTACATACATTAAGATCTATATACAAATCATAGAAAGTTTATATATTTACATATCTAACATTTAACATTTTATAATTATTTATATAACCTTCAAATATTTAAATCATATAAAAATATCACTAATAATCAATTAAACCTTATGTATTTTATCATGAGGTGTCAATTAGGCTCATTTATATACATATATATTTTTAAAAAATAATTTTTAATAAAAATATAATTTTCTTGAAATAAAAATTGCTTTAAAAAACAGTAAAAATCTCCCAAACAAAATTTAGCTTCGTTTGGACGCTTTTCATTACTTCTTAAAACGGAAGTTTTAGTACAAAAATAAAAAAAAAAATTGTATTAAAACTCTGTTTTGAGAAAGCAATAAAAAAAACCGTCCCAAACAAAAACCTTAGTATCACATTTATCAATATTATATAATCAAATTCTTATTACAAGCCATTTACTAAAATCATTATATTTGATTTTCTTCTTATAATTTTATATAAGAACCCCCACATTTTACTATTTTTGAACATTTTTTTTATTTCAAAACGACTATTTTCTAAATTAGTTATGAACAAAAAACATTTAAAATGCGCTTTAGCATAATTAAGAGAAACTTATCAGAAGCACAGGATAGGGTTTTTTTTTATAAATAAAAAATTAGATGAGTCACAAGTTCTCCATGCCACACTGGCATTATTACATGCACACATCTGCTTCGAAAACCGAGTTTGCACGGTTGGATCAAACCTGTAATGCATTTGGAATACAGCTGGAAGAAAGCTGGCGACTAAAGGAGCCTTTTGCAGCGAAATATCCATGCAGGAAAAGCATGCATCTTTTGTTGGTCTACTCTATCATAGTTTTAA